TAGTACAATGGTCCATGTTCAGTTTTAACAATATTTTTCCCAAATATTTTGGTCTCATTTGACATCAATTGGTACACATGTTTTTGTGCACCACAACTATCCAACCAAAAGCCAGTTATTTTTGTAGTAGATTTTGAAGTCATTACAATATCCAACTTTCCAGGAAAATAGAAGAGCCAATACGGGTCTTTCGTTGCATTGTAAACAGGAAGAATAATTCCAGTGGCATCTAATCTATGTTGTATATTGGAACCAACAGCACACCAGGCATCTTGATCGAAATAACTTTTACAAGAAAGATACAAAATTAACCTTTCATTTTGATTTAAGGTTAAATCGATAACCTCAACATTTTCCTCTGAAGCTACCATTCCACCATAGAGAACATTATTTGCTTCTTTTTTACCCAGAATCTTGGAGAGAACCTGGCTTTTCCATTGCAGCTTTTTGGACATCATGAGAGTAGTTTGTTCTTCCTCTGGTTGGCAGTCATGTTGTGGTGGTGGTTGTTGTTGTTGTTGTTCTTCTTCTTGTCGTCGTTGTTGTTGCTCTTGTTGTTCATGTGGAAATTGTTCATGTGGAAGTTGTTCATGTGGATGCTGTTCTTCTGACTGCTGCTGTGGTTGTTCTTGTTGCTGTTTTTCAGGCAGTTGTTGCAAGCCTTCTTTTTCTTTATACTCTAAAATACATAGAAAATATCCCCAAATTTTAGGTAAAAATAATAACATCTGTTAAAAGCACATATACTAATTATACTTAGGCTCTTAGCAACTAAAGGGAGATTTTGAATGGTTGATTGGTTGATTATAACAGCGCACTATACGTTGTGTCCGGCGCTGTCCGCCCTAAAAGTACCCCCTATCGAAGTGAAGCTTTTGTTGCAATTTGAATGCATGGTCACGCACTGGTTTGTACTTTAAATATAACATAGTATACAGGGTGTCCCCAAAAAAGTAATTCTGTAAATATAAAGTTTGTTGGCTAAAAACAAGCCGGAAATTGGTAGACAGAGTGAGCTTCTGAAAAGTTGTCGCCTATAGAAAATCTGCCCTTCTGACTTCTGTAACCTACTAGAGTAACACACATTGTTTTTTTGTTTCTTGGCGATTGACTTCCAGTTTAATTTAGCTTCGTGGTTACCGAACATAAATACCCAAGATACAACAACGTCACTTAAATCTTTATGTTGACAAATTATAACTATCTACAGCGAAGACCTGATTAATACCAAATAAACAAATGCAAATACAAATTTGTCACAATTTGGGAAGGCTACCATACGTAGTGAAATCACTTGCATGATGAACAGTTTATATATTCTAACAACCATGCAGTGATTTTGGTGGAAAACACATTAAATTAACCAGCAATTTGTCTCTTAAAGCATCATTTTCGCCTCTTAAGTTTGGCGCAGAAATTACCTTCAACCCATTTTATAGAAATGACCTTCTATCCATTTTCTTCCACGTTGAAAGAAAATTTAGAAGAAATGTTTAACATTGTTTTTGTTGAAAAAAAGAAGTCAAAAATCTTCAAAAGGAATCACACATAGATTTATTCACCCTTGCGTACTCCCGGGCGCTCTCAGGCTCTCAGCTGCTCCCGGGCACTCTCGGGCGGTATTAAGGACTTTCACAGGAAACTCGAAAGGGGTGCAAAAATTAAAAATGCACAAAATAACCTAAGAGGACCATTGTTCATCACAAGCTGTCTGACAATGTAGTTTTTGCTCCAAAGCCAAGGAATTTTTGAATTTACTTTATCTTTGGTGTGAGGTGCTAGCAAATAGAATAGGAATAATATTGTATTGCACATATGCTTGTCCGTCATAACATTTCGTATTTACCTTCAATGAATTTTCTAAATAAATTGAGTGCTACTCGACCACCTTCGGAAGTCTCTATGGTACTTTTGTTTCCGATGAAAGAAACTCCAGCTCCTTCCGTTCCATAGAAAGTTAACGTATCGCCACTTCCATGCTTGTGATGCATTAAAATGACAATATCACAGTTGTTGTGGATGTTCAGAATATCAGCCTAAATGAAAAACAGCGAAATGTGATTTTGCTTTATATAGTAACACAATAATACTCTACACTATATACTGTATAGCTATGTAAATTGTTCAAATTTGATTAGATATAACTACAGTGGAATTAGTTTTTAACAACAGGAGAAATTGCAATTATCACTCGTTCTTCGGATTCGTACCCTTTTATAGCCTTCGAGACACTAAGGGGCTGTTTACATGGTCCCACTTAGCCGGGATTTAACGAAGCATGAGACGACATTGAGGCATTGAAATGAGTATATAACATAATATCATGTGCTTGTTTGGTTTCATAAAGACTTATTTCAATACCTCATAACAATCTCACACTTCGTTGAATCTCGGGTAACCAGGCTCATGTAAACAGCCCCTAAAAAATAGAGGATCTGCACAGTCATGTGACAACTTCCTAAACTCTTGGAAGTGAAACCGATAAAACTGGCTGTTCAACTTATTTTGCATGTGCGTCATACGCAATATCCTCACTACAATCATTCTTCACAGCTTCACTTCCAGGACATGACTGTGCAAAAATTCTAAATTGCACTCAAATCATACTTTGAGATATCCCAGCTTGGACGCTGTACTGTAAACATACTCGTTTTTCCATGTGCTTCCTTTGTTGCGTAATGTTCGGATTGCTCATATTTTTTAAAGCATCCAAATTCTTCTCTTTTGTTGGAAACCTCAAAGAACAACCTTGGTTCTTGCAAACCTTTTTTGCAATCCCTTGTTCCAGTCCACACCCAGAGCATCTCTAGGTATATATAAATTCAATTATGATTCTTTTATTTTAATTAGTTGGCAAGTGTAGTAAGAGAGGGGGTTTAAATACCACATCTATTTATTTTATTTTTGGGTTAGCTAAAAACTTACAAATAAGGAACTGCATGTTACCTAAGAACTATTTGATAAAAATACACTGTTCATTTTCAGGTAATGTTGGCAAACTGAGCACAATAATCACGTGCCACTAAATGGTTTTACACAACATTTGCTGTTAGTCATTAGATAAAATCACAGCCCTTGTATATGAAACATGAGTGGTAAAGAATTACTTCATTTCAGGTAAGAATGCCAATGGCAGTTGCAGGTGACTTAACACACTAATTTGCATTGCTCAATGATATGCCTAATTGTACTTTAGTTGTTACAGCTAAATTCATCAAAACCTAAGTCTGTCTGATCATGATTTTGAAAAAAACCCCACTCTTGTTCATATCTTGTAAAATACTCTTGTGTTAGACAGAGTCAATAAGTAGCTGCATGTATTTTAAAAGCCAATAAACTTGATAATGCATACATAGGTTTTGGGGGCAATGGTAAATTTACTTGGGTAATTTTAAATTGGGTAATACTCAATTTTACCCAATGCAAATCTGAGAAAGACTGCACACACTGTACAGTTGCATACTAGACTTGCTTGGCACTTAGCTGGATTTCATCAGTCGTAGCAAATTAACATAATAAAAACTTACTTTCATCCCTTTTTTAAGACAGGTGTTGACTGTAATTGAATCTAAAAAAACATTTATATTTAATGTGGAAAATAAGTTTGTTATGAACGATTAGTGTAGATTCACCATTTTGCTTCAAAAAAGATTATTGGGGTCTTAGGGATCATATATAAAGTTATTTATGAAATTATTTTCCATTTGCATGCAAAATATACAAAAGTTCATAGTAGCCGTAACATTTTTAAGCTTAATTGCTCGGTAGTAGCTGTAACATTTTTAAGCTTAATTGCTCTTCAGTAATTTGTCTTTTGCTTATCCCTTAAATTGCAAATAACAAGGGAATCTTAATCTAATATATTAATTGCCATTACATTCAGAAACCGTAAATTAAGAAAAATTTGATGGTCAAATAATTTATATTGTCATTGATAACTTAGGAAGGAACAGTATATACATAATAGAGGATCATATGTTTGCTAAACATCCACAAATTTGAAATTTCTGATCGGCAGTCATTCACAGAGGTATTGGTATAAACGTATAAAAAATATAATCTGTGGCGTTACTACACGAAAATTGCACTTGGCACCACGGAACACAGTATATAAGTGCTGACATTCTGCGTTAAGACTGAACTTCTATCTACTAAAACGAATGCTAATAACGATATTAAATTATATAAAATCATCAGCTGTTAATAAATGGGCTTTTCTGACACTTCGCCGAGGATAGCCATCAATGATCAATCCATGCATTATTGTCTTAAAAATAACAACGTTTTATATCAGAAAGCTGAGTTAATATCACAATCTCGCTTTGTCACTCGTTAAAATACAAACAGCGGAATTAAAATGATAATGCTAAAATATTCAAATATGCAAATAAACGATAACTTACCCACGCACAGTGAACTTCCCGCGCATTCCTCGCTTTCCGCCATCTTGCTCGCGCTACATTAATTTAATCACCAGGCTGTATCGCCAATGGGCGCACTCGGCCACGCGTCGCGAAATTATTGTTTTAGTAATTTCGGATGTGTTTAAGAATTTATTGATATAATAAATTTAGAAGTGGAGCTCATGTTGCGATTATTTCAAGTGCAAAACAAAAACGTTTAAAGCAGGTCAATTGCCATTAAAACTGAATGAATGGCAAAATATTACTTCTGACCCAGAAGTTTTATGTACTGTTGCTGGGGAGAAAATTGAGTTTACTTCACTACCACGACAGACGACTTACAAGACTAACAAATTTTCTGAGCAGGAAAATAGAGCAATTGCTCAAGAAATCCAACAATTATTAGCCAAACAGGTCATTGTTGATTCCATACATGAAAAAGATGAATTCATCTCTCCAATTTTCCTTAGGCCCAAACCAGATGGCTCAAACAGGTTAATATTAAATTTAAAAGACCTAAATAAGAATGTGTTATATATGCATTTTAAAATGGAATCTATTTGGACAGCAGTAAATTTAATGACACAAAATTGTTATATGGCATCGATAGATCTTAAAGATGCATATTACTCTGTTCAAGTATCACCAAATTATCAGAAATATTTGAAGTTTGTTTGGAATGGTGTTGTTTATAAATTTACATGCCTTCCTAATGGGCTAGCCTGCTGTCCAAGGAAGTTTACTAAACTAATGAAACCAGTGTTCGCCTCATTAAGACAACAAGGGCATGTGTCATCACCATACATTGATGACTTTTTTTTAATGGGAAATGATCATGAGGAATGCATTTCCAATGTCATAGATACCATCAAACTCCTGGACAATCTAGGGTTTGTACCCCATCCAAACAAATCTGTCTTCAGGCCTACACAAAGTCTAGTATTTTTGGGATTTTTATTGAATTCCATTACTATGACAGTCTCCCTTACTCCTGAAAAAGCAAATAAGCTTAAGACATCAGTACAGCACCTCTTATTATGTGAAAGGCCCTCTATTCGAAAGGTTGCACAAGTGATAGGCCTCATAATATCCAGTTTTCCGGGGGTGATGTATGGCCCACTTCATTTTCGTTTGACAGAACATGAAAAAACAGAAGCCCTAAAACAAAATGCCCAAAATTTCGATGCATTAATGAGGTTGACACCACTTGCTAGAGAGGAGCTGCAGTGGTGGGTTAACTCGATAGATACAGCTGCCAATCAAATACATAGGCCAGAACCACAAATTATAATTCGCACAGATGCCTCAAAACAAGGTTGGGGGTGTGCAGTGAATGATTTGTCCACCGGGGGCCTTTGGACCATTACTGAGAAAGATAATCATATAAATTACCTTGAACTGCTAGCTGTGTATTTAGGGCTAAAAGCATACAAAGAGCTTGTATCAGATAAACACATACAAGTCTTGGTGGATAACACCACAGTTCAAGTTATACTTAATAAAATGGGCACTAGCCATTCTGCTCAGTTAAACAATTTGGTAAAAACTATTTGGGATTGGTGTATCACAAACCATATTTGGCTCACAGTTGCCCGTATTCCTGGAAAGGAAAATATTGAAGCTGATTTTGAATCCAGAAAGTGTAGGCGTAACACGGAATGGTCCCTTAATAAGAAGTTTTTTCAACAAGCGTGTGAAAAACTTGACTTCACACCAAACATTGATCTGTTTGCTTCTCGTATTAACTATCAGGTCAAACCATACATCTCATATCATCCAGACCCAGAGGCATTAGCAGTGAATGCTTTTCATATGTCATGGAGAAATTATAAGTTTTATGCTTTTCCTCCATTTAGCATAATAGGTCTGGTCTTGAAGAAGATTCAGAAAGAAAAACAGAAGGACTAGTCCTAGTACCCAAGTGGCCCACACAGACTTGGTGGCCAGTGCTAATGAAAATGTTAATTCAAAGACCAGTAGTTCTACCATCAAACAATTTAACATTATATCTACCCAGCAACCCGGATGAAAGACACCCTCTTCATCACAAAATGACTTTACTGATGTGTCACTTATCCGGAAACAACTTGAAAACCGAGGGTTTTCTTCAACAGCTACCAACATCATGGAAGCCTCCTGGAGATCAGGCACAAGAAAACAATATGAGTGTACTTTGTCAAAATGGAAACTGTACTGTAGTGAAGGGAAAGTTGATCTCTTTTCTCCAACTGTAGAACAGGGCATCAATTTCTTACGCAGGTTATATGATGAAGGTATAGGCTACAGTGGCATTAATACAGCAAGGAGTGCTCTGTCATCTATAGTTATATTATCAAACAATGTACCCTTTGGTAGCCATCCTTCTGTTTCTCGATTTATGAAAGGAGTTTACGAAACAAGACCAACTCTACCAAAACATCAAGAAATTTGGGATGTAAAAATAGTGCTTGATTTCCTACAAATTTTGCATCCAGTTGAAAGTTTAACTCTAAAGAATTTGACACTTAAACTAACCATGCTTCTTGCACTGATATCTGCACAAAGATGCCAAACTTTGCAAGCATTATCACTTGATAATATGAGACTTGGAAAAAATGAATGCACTTTCCTTTTTACAACGTTACTCAAAACATCTCGACCTGGAAAACACCAAGGTCCATTAGTTGTGAAATCGTTCACACCAAATGAACAGCTCTGTCCTGTTAAGGTCCTGAAAGAATATATTGCGAGAACTACGAATCTTAGAGGCAAGTGCAGTCAACTGCTGATCAGTTATCAACAGCCACACAAAGGGGTAAAAACAGACACAATATCTCGGTGGCTCAAAGAGGTGCTAAAGCAAGCTGGAATTGACAATTTTACAGGACATAGTACTAGAGTTGCATCATCATCAGCAGCAAAAAGATCAAACATGGATGTGCAAACCATTTTACAAGCAGCTGGATGGTCTAATGCCACAACATTCAATAAATTTTACAACAAACCATTTTAAGTGGAAAACAATTTTGGTCAAGCTCTGCTGAATTCTGCTTTGTCACATAGTGATTAAGCTAGACATTGTTATTCTTAAATTTTGAAATTAAAGTGTTGGGCTGTTGCTTAAATTATGCTCGAGATTTCCATGCTTTGAATATCTCATGTGACTCCTTAGTGACGTAGCCCAATGACAAAATAGAATTTAAAAATTAAACGAAACTTACCGTAAGTTGAAGTTTGATTGTAATTCTATGAGTTATTGGACAAGGAAACTAAGGAGTCACCCACCCGAAGTTGAAATTTTACTGTCGAGGTTGGTTTTTTCCCACCCTAAACGTTTCACAAATTGAAATCTCTCGCTGCGTTAAAGACTGAACACTCGATCTGCGTGCGCATATCTCACGTGACTCCTTAGTTTCCTTGTCCAATAACTCATAGAATTACAATCAAACTTCAACTTACGGTAAGTTTCGTTTAATTTTTAAATTTTATCGCTTCTCTCAAGTGAACAATTTTCATAGGGTGTATTTAAGTATATATGTACGGTTTTTTCGTGTTGTAATCTTGTTATGTACTCATCATTAAATGTTATTTAACGAGTTATTGTTTTTATTCAGGACTTTAGTGCGTCTCTTTCTGATGCTTTGGTTTGGTTATTTCTGGGACGACCCGTTTAAATCGGTACTTTTCACTAAAAAAAAATTGGTTAAATAGACCAGAAGCGAATGAGTCATTTTGGCCAATACTTTATTTGGTTAAAACGACCATTTTAAACGGGTTGTTTCAGATGCATCCAAATGACCGTTTTCTTCGGGTTATTTTAACCCAAAAAGTAATTGGTAAAACGACTAGATTTTAATGGGTCATTTTGACCCAGTAATATTTTTTTTTTTGGTTAAAACAACCAATTTAAACTGGTTGTCTCAGACGCATCTAAACGACCCACTTTTTTGGGTCATTTTAACCCATCTGTTTTTACAGTGCAGTTAGCTTATATCAATGATTAGCCTAGCAAAATACTTGTCTTGTTTCACTTTATAACTTACAGAAGTTTCATGTGTCCCTGAACTCTTCTAAGCTACTTAAGGGGGCTAGATGTGTTTTTCATAGTTTAATTATTTGTTTTCAAACACAAATCACCAGTTTAAACTAACGTGTAGCTCTAAATAATGTTCTTACATGCTTAGTTTTATATAGAACTTAATTCAGGGTGCATTAATATTACTCTACTTCATTTTTATGTGATATGGTTAAGGGGTTTACTTGTTACAGAGAGTTTTCACCTGGCAACGTAGGGAATCTAATTAATTTAGCTGTTTTGTTCAGTTAACTATTGAACCAGTTGGCTTATATCAATGATTAGCCCAGTAAAATACTTGTCTTATTTCACTTTATAAGTTACAGAAGTTTCATGTGTGCCTGAACTCTTCTTAGCTACTTAAGGGGGCTAGATGTGTTTTTCATAGTTTAATTATTTGTTCTCAATCACAAAACACTACTTTAAACTAATGTGTAGTTCTAAATAATGTTGTTATGTGTTTAGTTTTACTTAGAACTTAATTCAGGGTGCATTAATATTACTGTACGTAATTTTTATGTGATTTGGGTAAGTGGTTTACTTGTTACAGAGAGTTTTCACATGCCAACGTAGGGAATCTAATTAATTTAGCTGTTTTGTTCAGTGAGACATGTTTTTTAACTGTAACTACACTGTAAAAACTGATTGGTCAAAATGACCAAAAAAAATTGGTCACTTGGATGCATCTGAGAGAACCAGTTAAAATTGGTCGTTTTAACCAATTAAATTAACCAATTATTAATTGGTCATTTTAACAATTAACAAATGGTCAAACCAACCAATTTTTGTGGTTGTATTGACCAGTTGTTTCTGGTTAAAATGACCAATTAAAGAATGGTTAATTCTATTGGTTAAAACGACCATTTTTAAATGGTTCTTGCAGAAGCATCCAAGTGACCATGTTTTCCAAGGTTTTCACCAATACAACAAATCAACAAGAATATACATCATAAAAAATATATTGATATAGCAAGAAGAATTACAAATAATTAAGAATATTAGCATATTAGTACTTATATACATTAAGCTGCATGGCATGGTATTCTATATATATATATACACTATTTACATGAGAGCATCTACTTCATCATTGCAAGGAAATGTTCAACATTTACAGGCATGGCAACCTTTTGTTCAGTTAAAAGGATGTGCTCCAGAAATACAAACACATTTTTGCTATGCCCAGTTTTACCACGTGGGTACTGAGCATTGAATGCATAATATGCTGCAAGTAAACAAACAACACCATTGAGAATACCAACTCTCTTGAACTTTGTAACAAGCATCCCTTCAGCAATCAGTAGCAAGGTATGCAGCTGACCAAGTGACCCTGTAGAAATAAGTCTTGGGGATGTGCACTCTGACACCTTTTGATTTACATCACCCATTGCATCATCCTGTTGTTTGCAAAAAAAAACCCAAAACAAATTAAAACATGGACAATATAGTTGAATGCTGTGAATGGGGTGATATAAACATTCACATTTCACAGTGACATTGCATTACAGTCTGAAGACAGCATTACAGGATTGTCACTGCCATATCATGAAGAAAAACTTAGTAACAAGGAAAAAAACAAAAACTTACATCAAGAATCTCCCAGAACAGTTCGCCTGGCTTGTTTTCATGGGTCTGTCTATCCCCCAGTGCATGGGGTAAACAAGCCAATATGCACTGGTCTTCAACTTCTAAAATTGGAAATACAATACATATATATTTATATGCGCCTTCTAAAATAAAAACTATAATATCACAAGGGCTATAATACCATTAATGTTATACATACCCTTCTCATCTTCCGCGGTGCAATCTTCAATTGCTTCGAGATTATTTTGAATCTCCCTTCCCTTCAACTTTCTGAGAGCTGCAAGCATCTTTTTCTTATTCAAATTCCACCTTTCCCTCATATCTTTAATAATTTCTGGCTTTCCCAAAATTCTTCCTAATTCTGCTTTCAACTAAAAATGTAACAAAATTTGATTTTAAGAGGGTTAAAGGGATTATGGTGAATGTAATGTTCCATATTAAAATTTACCAAAACGCTGCTTACCTCTATACCTTTCCCATATTTCAAAAATGGATAGTCCTTCACTATCTTCCAAACACGTGCGTCATGCACCACAACATCTCTTCTTCGCTTTGGGAAGGTGTTGTCCATCAACACCTTAATTTTTGGTAGGTCTTGTGAGCCTTGACTAAACATTCTCACCAATTGTTTTCTCTGCTCTTCTAGAGTATCTTCAGTTTCGCCTTCAGGTAATGAAGGCAAAGCCAGGGCAATCTTGGTTTTCTTCCGACCAGGTTTGCCTTTAGGAATTACAATTCCAGCTTCCAATGATTTCCTCTTTCCATTCCTTGAGGCACGTCTTCTTAAATTCAAAACTCTTTCTTGGATCTTTTTAGCCCAAAATTGCTGCAAAAAAAAAATAAAATAAATATATATATATATATATATATATATATATATATATATATATATTAGATATTGTCACCACATAAATTATAACCGGTCTGCCTCATATAATGCCTAAAAATAATGAATTATCTGCATGCATGTACATACATATATATACATACATATACATACATGTCCTGCACCAAATGTCCCTTTCAAAAATGGATACTTCTGTACAAGTAATAAAGAAATGTGGTTCCTTTCATGGCTGTTTGGTGAGTCTGTGTGAGCCAATATTGTGGAGACAAGCTGTCTGACAAGGGCACTCTTTTCAGTCGGGACTAAATCCCCTTTTTTTAATCCTTGTTCAACTGCTGGTTCCCACTAAAAATTAATTAATACATAAAATGTTATCCTCATTTTCACAAATCAAGTTTTGTGGCTAGTAGCTAGCTGACTAAATTTCAACTGTAGATTACTCAGGTGAACGTGAACTATGATACATGCATATACCACAATAAAACACTATTTATAGTTTACCCTTGTTGGCAAACAAAACTTGCTTAACCAATCATATGCAGGTTCCAATGAATGTGGGGTTATCTATATAAAAAAGATGCAGTTAGAAATTTAGGAAAGATCTCTCATGGCAGTAATAATTGGTCAACACATGCACTTAATTAATACTTTTTCTTTACAATTAAATGGGAAGTTTACTTTGCTGGTATATATCCATTTTACATCATAACTAAAGCAGATACATTTTACCTTTTTTGATGTTGTTGCACTTAATTCATCCTGGCAATTAGTAGTCTCTTGTTCAAAATTTAGGGTTTTCTTGGCAACACATTTGGAAGAGACCTGAGAATTTTTTCCAGAATACTCTGGTGACTCTGGACTGCTGCACCATGAATTTGAAGCGGTATTATTTGAACATCTACTCAGATCCAGGTCTATGTTGAGTGGCTGACTTGACAACATTGGTTCCACTTCCATAGGGGGCATTTCATTGTCATTGATCTTAGGGCTGCAACTCTGTAAATCACAAAAATACTCTTATCAACTTATCCTATCAACTATTAAAATTATCAACAGGGCAATCATCTTCATACAATATTATCTTGAGTAATAATCTGACCTGGTTCTGCGGTTTTGGGTTCTGCGATGTGACTTCATCCCAGAGGGAGAGAAACTTCTTCCGAAGTTTGAAGCGAGGTATCATTTGATATATATCGGTCGCATCCAGGGCGAAAAAATCCTCTCCGTCCACTTCATTTGCTTAAATAAAATAAGCCATAAAAGGTTTCAATTTTTCGAAGGGAAACAGATATAATTTATGCAATACAACAAACGACACGTGTGCCAGGAAGTTGTGCCAGATGTGTGTCAGAATTCGCCAGTGTTTAATCGTTCAATAGTTGAAGCGATTTCTTAATATATAACAGTAATTAACAGCAAAATTAACACAACAAACGAGACATATTCTAAAGTGCTAACAGAAAAAGCCTAAAGTCGTAACAGTAAATCTAATTCACATGTTGTTTGTGAAAATTTCAAACAAATTTTAACACCGAAAACGCTTTATCATATCGCCAGTTACGAGACAGACTTACCTTCAAAATCAGCCACTACATCGCTCAAATTGTTGCTCTTTAAAAAATTGATTACATCTTGGCAAGAAGATTCTTTGGAAATTGCCATAGTTGAGAAAAATAATCACAAAAATTTTGATTCGCTTGAGAATTGCTTTATAAACGCGCTCTTGATATCTGAAATATATGCCGGTGTTGCTGTCACGTTGAATACTTAAGTTACTTAAATTACGCGCTCCATGTCATGTGACCACCAACCGACCAATAGCGTTTAATCAGGGTCAGCGCCATTGGTGAGCCCACAGAGCTATATTTAAATTTAAATGTATATAGTTCAGTGGGTCATGGCATTCACTGCATATATTTTTAATATGCTTTTAAAAAAGCTTCCACAGCGTGCGTTTCCATGGAAACTTCACTGGCTTCACTGGCTCTTAATATTATTTGGCATGTAATTTTGTAAATTTACGATATCTGTGACTGCTGGTTTTGGCTTTGACAACAAATCCTTCAAGCATGCTTCGTTGTCAAGTATGTTCAACGTTCTTTGCTACGAGTATTTTCGAAATGCAGCATCATCTCGCACAAGTTCATCGAAACGATCCAAGGTTACATCTCATATGCGAAGTACCTGACTGCCATCACACTTTCGCTAAGGTTTGTTACATACAGAATTCGAGTTTATATTCTACTCTTCCTTCTCCTAAGCATCAATATATGCTATATCAAAACTATTAGCCGAACAAATGCATTCTAGGTAATAAAATTCAGGTAGATTAAGTAACTTTGCCAGACTTTTCTAACCTTATTGTAATAAATTATGTTTATGTTTGTATCTCATAGATTAACTCATATAAGAGCCATCTGAGACGAAAGCATAGCGACGTAAATCTTAAGTTAGCCAACACTCCAGAAATTGAGAATATAAATGTAGATCTCCAAGACCAACCGATACAAGATTGTGGAGGTGAACTTTGTAATGGAATCGACAATGTGCAAGAGAACCCTGTTCAAGCGATGAGAGATCTTAGTGCAAAATTCATTTTGAAAACCAAAGAAACTAACTTGTTAACACAAAAGTGTGTGGACAATATTGTTGAAGATTCAACTGAGCTGGTTCGAGGTACAGTTAATGCTCTCAAGAGTGGCTTACAAAGTTGCTTGATCAATGCTGGGCTTAATTTTGATGAAGTTCCAGGATTATGTCAACTTTTTGAAGAGGATAATCCAATCTCAAATCCCTTTGAACATGTGTCCACACAGTACAAACAAAATGCATACTTTAAAAGTCAATTTGGACTGGTGGTAAGTGCGAATTCTTTAGTGCTATAGAAGTAATAATTGTATATGAAATTTATGAAATATTGTGTTTAATTCTTTTTTAGCAACCTCAGCGTATTACTGTTGGCCACAGTTCTGTAAAGAGAAGATCTGGAACAAGCTTCAAAGAGGTCCTAAAAGATGATGAAATAATTTACGTCCCAATTCTTGAGTCTTTGGAGCAAATGCTCAACAATGACTTCATACTTAAAGAGGTAAATTTGATTAATTATGGTTTAATTTGTGATCAGCTTAAAAGCTAGTGCAGAATTCAAACCCGTTAGCTTGGGTACACACACCTATACGGCAATTCGCTCAGTGACAAATTTATTGCATATTTATATAAAGGTTCAGACTGGTCATCAACGCCAGCATGGCAATGGTCTGATTGAAGACATTTGTGATGGCCATTTATTCAAGACCCACCCATTGTTCTCTTCTGATCCAAGTGCTATTCAGTTAATGCTGTATTATGATGATGTCGAAATTGCTAATCCTCTTGGAAGCAAGGCTGGGAAGCACAAATTAGGTAAAAGAGCGAGAAATACACTCAGTCATTATATATCCTAGTTACCTTGATTCAACTGGTAGTAGAAATGATAATGAATAAACCAATTACAACAAAGATGCTGATCGATATATATATGATTACTATTTTTAGGAGTTGTTTACTACACTTTGGGCAACATTGACCCTAAGTACCGATCACAACTTGATTCAATTCAGTTGTTATTAATTGCCACAACACCGGTCATCAAGCAGTATGGTATTGATGCTTTGTTAGATCCTTTTATGAATGATCTTGAGCATCTTGAAAAAGTAAGTTTTCCAAGTCTATTTATACTGTGATTAAATTTTAAATCAATGCCCATGAATATAGGCCACACCAGATCTCTTGATTGATTTAATTGTTTACCATAAATCCAATTAATATACTGTGTAAAAATATCACATGGGATATCTAGTTAAACTGGAATACTATTAAAATTCAAAATCGAAATTATAGGGATTTATCATATTATATATAGTTAGTGAGCATTTCTATGTGTTATTCTGATCAAAGATATTAATTATCTCATATTGTATGTCTAGGATGGTGGTTACCAGTTTACTATTAAAGGTGAGCCACAGTCCTTTGCTGGAACAATTGTAATGGTTTCAGGAGATAATCTTGGTTGTCAACTAATCGGAGGGTTTAAAGAAGGACCAGGTGCACACCTGAAGTGTCGACAATGCATGGGGAACACACAGGAAATCAAGTGCAAGGTAATACATTTTAAAAAATTTATAGGATGGTAATTGCTTGCTCTCAAAACATATTTAAATCAACTTGTATCAACCAAACCTTAATTCTCACATGAAATTGGACCAAATTTCTTCACAAAATTATTTTGGCAGAAAAACTTTTATGTATGATTTTTGTCTCTTTCTTAGTTCATGGAAAAGTATTTCACCCTCCGCACAAGAGCTGGCCACAACCGGCAATGCCAATTAATTGAACAGGATCAAGGACTCAGCAAAACATATGGGGTTTGCAGGCTCTCTGTTCTTTGTAACTCACGTTACTATCATGTGGTTGATGGCTTGCCTGGTGATGCCATGCATGATATCCTGGAAGGTGTTCTTCAGTATGAATGTAAAGAAATGCTCAAAGAGTATATTTTTAAAGAGAAGTATCTTACACTTGAGCAGTTAAACGAAAGGATGCGCTGTTTTGACTATGGATATTTCAATGACAGAAATAAGCCATCACCAATTGCTGTTCAAACTCTGAAAAATGAAGCGCACAATCTCAAGCAAAAAGGTAAGAAACTAAAGAGTGTGTTTCTGGGCTTATCCTCCTTGGTATTTTTGCCCAGTGTGACAGCTATATATATTGTGCTGCTCATATCAAAAACTGTGGTCCATTGCTTTTATTGAAAATGTTTATTGGTATTCTTTTTTTCATATATGAACACAGCAGGACAAATGTGGTGCTTGGGAAAATTTCTACCCCTCATTATTGGTAGTTCAGTTCCTGGTGATGATGAAAGATGGCTGCATTTCTTGCTGCTGCTCAAGATTGTTGACATTATATTTTCACCAGTTGTGAGCGAAGATGACCTAAGCATCCTGGAAGGTTATATTGAGGAATATTTATGGCTGTTTACCAACATATACCCTGGATGCCCTCTTATTCCAAAGATGCACTATTTGGTGCACTATCCTGCACATATTTACAAGTATGTATAGTTTTGTGAGATCTTTACAATTAGGCAGAAAATTAAAATTTTTTTCTAATTTTCAAGGTTTGGACCCATGGTGCGTAGTTGGTGCATGAGATATGAGGCAAAGCATCGGTACTTTAAAAGATTGGCTGCATACATGGGTAATTTTACCAATGTTGCTCTCAGCTTGGGAGAGCGCCATCAGACACGCAGCTGTTATCTGATGAATGTTCAATGTGGTGGCAATACTAGCCCTCTTGCAAAGCAGCCTAAAATTGGTAATTAAGTTTTAACACTATTAACACTATTAAAATATTCTGGTAAAACCATTGACAGCTAGTGAAGGAGGCATAATTAATGCATCTAAATGATTGCGGGATAACAAGCCCTTTTTTTAATCATGGCAAATTGCATATCCATTGGTGTGCAAAGCCCTTTACATGTCCAAGTTACAATTCTCTCACATCGCATGGGTTAAATTTATTTATTCTAGAGTCTGGAAAACAAGTTGTTGCAGGAGACAGTGAATATTTCCAATTATTAAAAGATAGGGAACCGACACTAGCTGACACCAATGTCCTGCACATGTAAGCATATATAAATAAATAATCTTATGCCAGTATCCCTAGTTAATATGTCCCATATGGAGTGACAATCAATCATGGTTGTATGGTGTTCATTGTAAAAATATAAAATATCATAGTATATAAAATGTACACTATTTTTTTATATTTTAGACAAAGAAAAATTTCAGTTCATGGCACAGAATACAGAGTTGGTGCTGTGGTGCATGTTGAAAGTCTGCATAATGATCTGCCAGTTTTTGCATTAATTGTAGAAATATTTGTACTTGCTGTAGACAAGATTTATTTTATTCTGGAGAGATTTATAACAGTTAAATTCTCATGCCATTTCCATTGCTACGAAGTTCAAAGGCATGCTAATGCACAAGCATTTATACTTCAGCCTACAATGCTAAGGATGTACCTTCCCATGCATACAACAAAGGCATCTTCCTGCGAAAGTGATATTCTATATGTCATGCCAAGATATCAACTCCCACAAACACTTTAGGGTTTACTGTAAATATTATTGTAAATTATTATTGCAATTATGTCAATGTAAATATATATATTGCTGTAAATATAGATATTAATGTAAATATAGTTTCCACAAAAAGATGAATTTAACAACGTCAACGCTTAATTCAAATATCCGGTACGGCCTCTTTTTCGCTGGTACAGCCAGGCTATGCAGGCTACGTGATGATTCACCACGTGCTCAAGATGGCGGAACGAGTAAATATTGAAGAGGTAACAGTTCTCGCTCATGAATTATTAATGCTCAGACTAACTTCGCATGAAGTTCGTCTTGATCCGTCTGATTCGCCCGAGTTTATAAACAGGTGAACTATAAGGCGAAATACCTTTCGCTTGCCAAGTTTGTCGAGACGGATGATCCGTCTCTATAGTATAGAGTATAGACTAAAGTATATTAAAATTGTGCCATAGAGTCGATTTATAATTCTGTTCTATAATGATTTATAGATTAGGCATGAAAGCCAAGAGAAAGATGAGGCACTAGTCAAACAAAGACGCGATCGAAAAGGTGAACATTCGTATTTTGTGTAATTGTGTTTTGCATATTCTCTATTTGTACTTAAAAACACAGTGGTTTCCTATAATGCCATGCATGTTTGAGTAAATATCCTCATGAGATGCCCTATATATATTCACTGAAATGTTCTAATAATTAAAATGTCAACTGAAAGTACGGTTTTGATACCATGTATAATGAGGTATTTAGGAATTTATCTTTTATTCATATAAAATTTAAGATGATCCAGATAAGGTGTTTGAGGCAGAAAAGAAAGAAGAAAAGAAAACCAGCAGGAAAAGAAAGAAAAAGAGAAAAGAAAAAAAAGAAAAAAAAAGGAAAGTGGCAGAAGAATACGAGTCAGATGACACTGTTGTTGATGTCCGAGAGTTTGGAGATAAAGAAGAGGAAGCATGCACTTTGGAGAGGACTGAGTCTCTCACACCTTATGAATTGGAATTGCTGTACGATAAAAAATAAATTTGTTAAAAGCTGTTTTAAGTTGTACCTCCTAATTTTTGATGCAAAGAGGTGAAGTTTGATCTTTTGCCCCTTGGACAAAAGCCACTCGGCCTATCAAATTAGGCCTTATACTTTAACCCTGTCAAATTAATCCCAAATAAAAATGTACATAAACATTCTTAACCTTTCTGACTTAATTAGCTATATGACCAATAAACAGTTGGTTATATTAACCCCCAATAAATTGGTCAAAAAACAACCAATAAAGTAGAGGTCAAAGTGACCATATTTAATTGGTCAAATTTTAGCAACCCATTGAATAATTGGTCAAAATGACCATTTGACCTTGGTTGCAACCAAAAAAAATGGTTGTTTTAACCGATCAGTTTTTACAGTGTATGGAACCAGTTGGCTTATATCAATGATTAGCCCAGCAAAATACTTGTCTCTTTTGACTTTATAAGTTACAGCAGTTTCATGCGTGCCTGAACTGTTATTACTTACTTAAGGGGGCTTGATGTGTTTTTTCATAGTTTAATTATTTGTTTTCAAACACAAAACACTACTTTAAACTAATGTGTAGCTCTAAATAATGTTCCAATGCTTAGTTTTATATAGAACTTAATTCAGGGTGCATTAATATTACTCTACTTCATTTTTATGTCATATGGTTAAGGGGTTTACTTGTTACAGAGAGTTTTCACCTGGCAACGTAGGGAATCTAATTAATTTAGCTGTTTTGTTCAGTGAGACATGTTTTTTAACTGTAACTATGGAACCATTTAGCTTATATCAATGATTAGCCCAGCAAAATACTTGTCTTGTTTCACTTTATAAGTTACAGAAGTTTCATGTGTGCCTGAACTCTTCTAAGCTACTTAAGGGGCTAGACGTGTTTTTCATAGTTTAATTATTTGTTTTCAAACACAAATCACCAGTTTAAACTAACGTGTAGCTCTAAATAATGTTCTTACATGCTTAGTTTTATATAGAACTTAATTCAGGGTGCATTAATATTACTCTACTTCATTTTTATGTGATATGGTTAAGGGGTTTACTTGTTACAGAGAGTTTTCACCTGGCAACGTAGGGAATCTAATTAATTTAGCTGTTTTGTTCAGTGAGACATGTTTTTTAACTGTAACTATTGAACCAGTTGGCTTATATCAATGATTAGCCCAGTAAAATACTTGTCTTATTTCACTTTATAAGTTACAGAAGTTTCATGTGTGCCTGAACTCTTCTAAGCTACTTAAGGGGGCTAGATGTGTTTTTCATAGTTTAATTATTTTTTTTCAATCACAAAACACTACTTTAAACTAATGTGTAGTTCTAAATAATGTTGTTATGTGTTTAGTTTTACTTAGAACTTAATTCAGGGTGCATTAATATTACTGTACGTAATTTTTATGTGATTTGGGTAAGTGGTTTACTTGTTACAGAGAGTTTTCACATGCCAATGTAGGGAATCTAATTAATTTAGCTGTTTTGTTCAGTGAGACATGTTTTTTAACTGTAACTATGGAACCAGTTGGCTTATATCAATGATTAGCCCAGCAAAATACTTGTCTCTTTTCACTTTATAAGTTACAGCAGTTTCATGCGTGCCTGAACTGTTATTACTTACTTAAGGGGGCTTGATGTGTTTTTTCATAGTTTAATTATTTGTTTTCAAACACAAAACACTACTTTAAACTAATGTGTAGCTCTAAATAATGTTCCTACATGCTTAGTTTTATAGAACTTAATTCAGGGTGCATTAATATTACTCTACTTCATTTTTATGTGATATGGTTAAGGGGTTTACTTGTTACAGAGAGTTTTCACCTGGCAACGTAGGGAATCTAATTAATTTAGCTGTTTTGTTCAGTGAGACATGTTTTTTAACTGTAACTATGGAACCAGTTAGCTTATATCAATGATTAGCCCAGCAAAATACTTGTCTTGTTTCACTTTATAAGTTACAGAAGTTTCATGTGTGCCTGAACTCTTCTTAGCTACTTAAGGGGCTAGTTGTGTTTTTCATAGTTTAATTATTTGTTTCAAACACAAATCACCAGTTTAAACTAACGTGTAGCTCTAAATAATGTTCCTACATGCTTAGTTTTATAGAACTTAATTCAGGGTGCATTAATATTACTCTACTTCATTTTTATGTGATATGGTTAAGGGGTTTACTTGTTACAGAGAGTTTTCACCTGGCAACTTAGGGAATCTAATTAATTTAGCTGTTTTGTTCAGTTAACTATGAACCAGTTGGCTTATATCAATGATTAGAGCCCAGTAAAATACTTGTCTTATTTCACTTTATAAGTTACAGAAGTTTCATGTGTGCCTGAACTCTTCTTAGCTACTTAAGGGGGCTAGATGTGTTTTTCATAGTTTAATTATTTGTTTTCAAACAAAACACTATTTAAACTAATGTGTAGTCTAAATAATGTGTTATGTGTTTAGTTTTACTTAGAACTTAATTCAGGGTGCATTAATATTACTGTACGTAATTTTTATGTGATTTGGGTAAGTGGTTTACTTGTTACAGAGAGTTTCACATGCCAATGTACTAATTAATTTAGCTGTTTTGTTCAGTGAGACATGTTTTTTAACTGTAACTATGGAACCAGTTGGCTTATATCAATGATTAGCCCAGCAAAATACTTGTCTCTTTCACTTTATAAGTTACAGCAGTTTCATGCGTGCCTGAACTGTTATTACTTACTTAAGGGGGCTTGATGTGTTTTTTCATAGTTTAATTATTTGTTTTCAAACACAAAACACTACTTTAAACTAATGTGTAGCTCTAAATAATGTTCCTACATGCTTAGTTTATAGAACTTAATTCAGGGTGCATTAATATTACTCTACTTCATTTTTATGTGATATGGTTAAGGGGTTTACTTGTACAGAGAGTTTCACCTGGCAACGTAGGGAATCTAATTAATTTAGCTGTTTTGTTCAGTGAGACATGTTTTTTAACTGTAACTATGGAACCAGTTAGCTTATATCAATGATTAGCCCAGCAAATACTTGTCTGTTTCACTTTAATAAGTTACAGAAGTTTCATGTGTGCCTGAACTCTTCTTAGCTACTTAAGGGGGCTAGATGTGTTTTTCATAGTTTAATTATTTGTTTTCAAACACAAATCACCAGTTTAAACTAACGTGTAGCTCTAAATAATGTTCCTACATGCTTAGTTTTATATAGAACTTAATTCAGGGTGCATTATAATTACTCTACTTCATTTTTATGTGATATGGTTAAGGGTTTACTTGTTACAGAGAGTTTTCACCTGGCAACGTAGGGAATCTAATTAATTTAGCTGTTTTGTTCAGTGAGACATGTTTTTTAACTGTAACTATGGAACCAGTTGCTTATATCAATGATTAGCCCAGCAAAATACTTGTCTTGTTTCACTTTATAAGTTACAGAAGTTTCATGTGTGCCTGAACTCTTCTTAGCTACTTAAGGGGGCTAGTTGTGTTTTTCATAGTTTAATTATTTGTTTTCAAACACAAATCACCAGTTTAAACTAAGTGTAGCTCTAAATAATGTTCCTACATGCTTAGTTTTATATAGAACTTAATTCAGGGTGCATTAATATTACTCTACTTCATTTTTATGTCATATGGTTAAGGGGTTTACTTGTTACAGAGAGTTTTCACCTGGCAACGTAGGGAATCTAATTAATTTAGCTGTTTTGTTCAGTGAGACATGTTTTTTAACTGTAACTATGGAACCAGTTGGCTTATATCAATGATTAGCCCAGCAAAATACTTGTCTTGTTTCACTTTATAAGTTACAGAAGTTTCATGTGTGCCTGAACTCTTCTAAGCTACTTAAGGGGGCTAGATGTGTTTTTCATAGTTTAATTATTTGTTTTCAAACACAAATCACCAGTTTAAACTAACGTGTAGCTCTAAATAATGTTCTTACATGCTTAGTTTTATATAGAACTTAATTCAGGGTGCATTAATATTACTCTACTTCATTTTTATGTGATATGGTTAAGGGGTTTACTTGTTACAGAGAGTTTTCACCTGGCAACGTAGGGAATCTAATTAATTTAGCTGTTTTGTTCAGTGAGACATGTTTTTTAACTGTAACTATGAACCAGTTGGCTTATATCAATGATTAGCCCAGTAAAATACTTGTCTTGTCTTATTTCACTTTATAAGTTACAGAAGTTTCATGTGTGCCTGAACTCTTCTTAGCTACTTAAGGGGGCTAGATGTGTTTTTCATAGTTTAATTATTTGTTTTCAATCACAAAACACTACTTTAAACTAATGTGTAGTTCTAAATAATGTTGTTATGTGTTTAGTTTTACTTAGAACTTAATTCAGGGTGCATTAATATTACTGTACGTAATTTTTATGTGATTTGGGTAAGTGGTTTACTTGTTACAGAAGTTTTCACATGCAACGTAGGGAATCTAATTAATTTAGCTGTTTTGTTCAGTGAGACATTTTTTTTAACTGTCTAACTATGGAACCAGTTTGGCTTATATCAATGATTAGCCCAGCAAAATACTTGTCTCTTTTCACTTTATAAGTTTACAGCAGTTTCATTGCGTGCCTGAACTGTTATTACTTACTTAAGGGGGCTTGATGTGTTTTTTCATAGTTTAATTATTTGTTTTCAAACACAAAACACTACTTTAAACTAATGTGTAGCTCTAAATAATGTTCCTACATGCTTAGTTTTGTATAGAACTTAATTCAGGGTGCATTTATTACTCTACTTCATTTTTATGTGATATGGTTAATGGGTTTACTTGTTACAGAGAGTTTTCACCTGGCAACGTAGGGATCTAATTAATTTAGCTGTTTTGTTCAGTGAGACATGTTTTTTAACTGTAACTATGGAACCAGTTAGCTTATTATCAATGATTAGCCCAGCACAAATACTTGTCTTGTTTCACTTTATAAGTTACAGAAGTTTCATGTGTGCCTGGAACTCTTCTTAGCTACTTAAGGAGGCTAGTTGTGTTTTTCATAGTTTAATATTTTGTTTTCAAAACACAAATCACCAGTTTAA